AATAATAATAATAGCTTATAGATTCAGACATGACAGAACATTATTCTGAGTTTTGTATGTTAATTTTTCCCTTCTTAAGTTCACTGAATACCCTACCAACTCTATTCACTTGATTACTAGAATCCATACCTATTTTTAAATTATGACAGTAATTTCAAAGCCTAAGTCCCTGCTCAATCTTCTTTGTGATTTTTTGATGACCTGTTGGTGGTGTTTCATTCAAGTATATATTGTTTTTATCCATCTGTTATGGCTAGATCACTGAAGCTGTCTTATTGGTCTAGACGCTCCACTGTCAACCAATGAGTCATGGGTTCGAACACTGCTTCATTTACCGTGATTTCGGCAGTCAGGTAGAGTATCACGAGCCCTCATACAGTAGGTATAGCTTATTGCCAACTGTATGGAATTACAAGTGACATTTTTCTGTAACATTTCATTTAAAGTAATTTTTAGTAGATGGTGACCAGCAGTGGAATCCACGGCATGCGCATTTCGTCAAATTGGGGACTCGTTACCTGGATGTGCCTGTACTTCCCAGGGAGTGATGATGTTTCCACTGAGACTCGAACCCGGTATCCATCGTTTGAAACTGCAAAGTGTTATCCACTAGATCACTTGAGATACAACAGTCATGGGCATCAGTCATTATTTGTTACTAATTCAATTTTAATTTTATGAAGAGGTCTAGTGGATAACTTTTTGGCGTTTAAAAAAAAAAAACTGGGTTCGAGTTTCAGTGGGAACACCATCACTCACTGGGGAATGCAGGGACATACCGGTGACGAGTTCAAAACAGGACGAAATCCGCATTCTTGATTCCACCGCTAGTCCCCGACCGATAGCTGCTGCCTTGACGTGGTGATCGGACTTGCACATCACAATAACCCAACAAGCTACACTGGCTGGAACCAATGTTCCTACAGGTCATACCATGCCAGGAAGGTTGTAAAGATGGCGATTAGACTAAAAGCAGTTACCGGCTTAGTGTAAGAATTTTGTTTTTACACTATACTGGGGGTCTGTGAGCGAAGTTGTACTGCAGGGGAACAGTGATGTAACAGCAGTGAGGTGTTTCCCTCAGGTGACTAGCGTGCTAGCCACCTATGCTGTCTCTCCACTCTGGAGAGAGGGGTTAGAAAAGGTCGACCTCAACAATTGTACATCCTGACTTACCCTACGGTGGTCCGTAACCAGCGGTAAGTTTACTAATACGGAGCCAAACCAAGAAACCAGTTCATACAGGCCGTGTGTGACCGGCCAGCATCAAGTAGTTGTCCCCTGGGCTCAGCCGTCATGCAACACTAACCCTCTTTCTGTTCCAGATACCCGAATAATCAACCAACTTCCATGGTGTAGTCAGCCGGAAAGTAACAACCACCCACACACTTCCAAGAGACAGACAGACAGATATATAGTTGAGTTTCGAGCTCAACATTCTGCAGATACATGGCTGAAAAAGAGATTAGACTGAGAAATCCGAAGAGAGAAATAGCCACAAAAGGTACAAAATTTTGATAGCCATACACACTGAAGTCATAGACTGTTAATTTTTTTCTTAAAACCCAAGCTGAAGGTGTCTTAAATAAAGTTCACGATAACAAGTACCAAACTAACGATTATTACTGTTTGATAACAGTTATCTAAATACACTTGTGCCTTATCTTAATCAGTCTCTAAACTATAAAAAAATTATAATATAGTCGTTTTTTCTACTTCAAGGTATATTCGTAGCCTCCTTCCCTTCTGCATAATGCCTCCTTCTCGCTAAGCTAATTTATTTCGTGCAACAAAGTGAATTGACAGGAGATAATAAATACAAGGATCTAACAACAATAACAACAACAATTATTATTATTATTATTGTTATAATACTACGGTCTTTTTGTAAAAGGGTGTGTATTCTAGTTCCCTGAATATTGGTTTTTGTGTTCGTGTGTTTCGGATGTTGTTTTTTGTAATGTTAACAGCGACTATAGAATATTTGATATATATTTGTTAGGTGATGGCTGTAGACTGTGGCGTTGTAAATGAGTGATGTTAGTGGGATGGTGTTATATGTGTTTGTTGAAGTGCGTGTGTGTGTACCTGTACGTACTGATGGATGTGTGAGGATTCGTGTTGATCTGTCTTGTGGGGTATGTCTAGATTGACTGGTGTCTGTAAGTGACGGACAAGTATAGAACTTTCCAGGAAATTGCATTATCAAAAAGGCATAAGGATGCACACTCCTTCCACGTTTTCTTAACTATAAAGATCTGTTTACACCAATTATGATTTTTACAAATCTTATTCTCCTTGAAAGAGGTATCTGAATCAACTCAGTATACACGAGCAACAAGAGAATGTAGTAACTAAAGTCATTTTGAGAACTTTCTCACTGTCTTTCTTATCATGTAAGTGTGCTTTGTTACTTTATGACTAGCCTGTATTGATGTTTTGATATTGGTTATTGAGTGTGAAAGTTGTTGAGCTCTGGGTGCTCACTTCATTTATTTTCGAGGGTTACGTGGGCTGTCGCATATGAATTTAACTGCTCTGTCTTGTCGACATGAATACTCCATTTCACTTAGTGCCGGTTCATCATCGATGCAGTGTAGCATTAATTTTTATTATGGTAGCTTTTATCAAGTCTGCATACTGTACACAATTTGTGTTTATGTCATTCATAAAGGTTTTTAAAGTATATAGGGAATAATTCACCTAAAGCTGCTGATCCAATGTAAGTGTAGAAGTTGGGTGTTGTCGTAGGATGTAATTCCACATTATATTATTATTATTATTATTATTATAATTGTTCCCTTGGGTTCCTAGTGAAACATAGGGCTTCAACTGCACGTCTCCAATTGCTTCTCTCTTCTGCTGTACTTTTCACCTGCATCCATGTTAGTCCATTATGTTTCACTTCCTCTTCGCACGATCTCCTCCATGTCACCCTTCGACGTCCCACTTGCCGCTTACTCTTCGGGTTCCACTCGAGCACTGGCCTGACGCGCGATGTCACCCAACGGCCTCCTCAGCGAGTTTCCAATCCATCTCCACTTTCTCCTGCATATTTGTTGAGCGATTGGTTCTTGTTTTGTTTGTTCCCATAGTTTCTTGTTGGTGATTCTTTCCGGCCATCTGATCTTGAGTATAGAGCTAAGACAATTAGTTGTTGATCAAGGTCTGCAACAGGCTGTTGGAAATATTCTTTGTGACCCGCCGCCAAGTTTCTGATCCGTATAGAAGAACTGACTGACTTGACGTTTGTATTGAAAATCCGAATTTTGTTGTTGATGCTGAGTGACAGCGGAAGATTTCCAGATTGGTTTCAGGTTGATGAATGTGTTAGTCGTCTTTCCGATTCTCGATTTGACATCCTCGTCCGTTCCTCCTGTAGTTGAGAGAATGCCCCCTAGATAAGTGAATGAAGTCACCTCTTTCAAATCCCTCCCGTTGATGGTGATTGGCGCTGGATGTTGCTGCTGCTGTTGTTGTTGTTGGTTGGTTATTTTCATAACCTCCGTCTTGTCTATGTTCACCTGGAATCCTGTCTTTGCTGCTTCTTCGACCACATTAGACAAGTTAATCTGAAATAGCACACAATGATGCAGTATTAATAACTTGATGACGTTTGAGGCACAAATTATCGCTTATAATCATATCAGTTTAGGCACATGGCTTCGTAGTTTGTCTTATATATATATATATATATATATATATCTTCCCCTTGTTGTTTGTTACCACTTTCCATATCTCCAGTATAGGCGTTGCATAAATTCAATTGCACGTGTGTGGTGTTGAATCGATAAACAAAGGTTCAGCTACTAACCTCTTTCTCTACCGAACCATATTACTTTTTAATACCTTCACCTTGTCCTACCGCACGTATCGTGTGATTACATTTTAAATGCAGTAGCTGAACTTTCTTCTACGTTATTTAACCTAGTAGGGTCAATCTCAGCACGAATCCAAAAAGCTCAAGCTGCTTTCGCTAACTTACACCATCTCTGGCGTAGGCGTGACATCCGGCTATCAACCAAGGGACGTGTGTACTGCTCAGAAGTTCGCTCCCTCCTTCTCTATGTCTCTGAAACATGGCCAATACGAGTTGAAGACATGAAGAGGTTGACTGTTTTTGATCATAGATGTCTACGATCTCCTTCTCGCGTTAGGTGGTATAATAAGGTAAGTAATGTTGACGTTAGGCATAGAGTGTTGGGCAAAGAGGGAAAATCAATCGACGAGGCTATAAAGTTACATAGATTGAGATGGCTAGGTCACGTGCTGCGCATGTCTAACCATCGCCTCCCCCGACAGACGGACATTACTAGCTGATATAGGTGCAGGTTGGTTGGAAAAGAGTAAGTGGTGGCCAAACAAAAACATGGCCTCATCAATCCATGAAATCCTTGACAGTTAAACTGAGTCAGGTAGGGAGATGCAGACTTCCGTGTTGGGGCCCTCAGGACTCTAAGAATCAATGGCTGGAGACACTAGGTGACATGGCTCGAAATCGTTGTCAATGGCTAGCGCAGATGTATTCAGTCTCTGTAATCTTTCATATTCCTTTCTACCATTACTCATTCTGTTTCAGTCTTATACTTGTCAAAACTCTATTGATTCTCTTCATTCATTTTCTTATCTACCTTTGTGTGCTATTTGGAACGTGGCAATTCGAACTGCTGCACTTCGGTGACAAGTTCTATGTTGAATCCAGACAGACAGAGAGAGGGCCAATCATTCTACGTCTAGCAAACTTTTCATGTTGCAATAATCTAATTGGATCCCGACCTACTTATCCAAGCTTATATCCATGCTGTGCAAAAGAAAAATAACGGAACACATTAGTAGGAGAGGCCTTGTGTTATCCACTTATATGATGCTTGTTAAGCATAGATTGTATGTTGCTTATTTTGTTGTTGTTCTTTTAAATCACAGTTGAATTTGTGTCAATTGATAAATTCTTTCTTTTATTTTCACTAGTTTTCTTTTCTTTTTTTAAAAAATTATCTTAGCTGATGAAAATGTACCGGTACATCAGCATCATTCATTGGACTTAGATATGCAAAGAAAGCTAGTCGATTATAATGCTTCAATAAAGCCAACATGTCTTTCATCGAGTGTTGAACATGCCGCCTCTCATACACCATCATTTCTTCAATCTGATCATATAACATCTATGCTAAGTCCTGTACATATCCAATCATCATCATCATCGTCACAACAACAGCAACATCCACACCAACATGAACAACACCAACAATCTCAACTAATAGATGATGTAGACTTGAAAAAATCCAATGAATTCTTGGAACGTTTACACTATCATTTAGTTTCAAAGTATAATGATCGGTTAACAAGTGAACAGATACAAGCAATGATTGCCCTTCTTAAAATGATTAGTCAATCAAAACGACAGATAAAAAAGATTTCGTCACAATCAGATGCTTTAGAGGAAGAGGTAATTTTCTTTAGCCTTCTTTTGTTTTGTAGTTTTCTGTTTTAGAATTTTTGTAATAATAATAATAATCTACTTTATTCCCAAAATAGTATTTATAATACAGAATGGAATTCTCAACATTTGTCACAATATTGCATCTGATTTACCAAAAATATAATTAAAATTAAAAATTAAAACGAAATTAACTGGAGGGATTTGTTCACATTTACCATATGAAGTCAAAAATATTCGAAGCATGAATTGAGATTATTAAATATAATAATAATAATAACAGTGAGTTTGTTTCAAACGGTATTGTCGATTTAGGGGGATTATGAATATAAGAAATACAATAACAATAAAGTATGATGCTTTAAGGGTCAAGGAAATGGTTTATTTAGTGGTGCTAAGAAGGTTAGTTAGTTCATGTCTGACACTATTTTCATCACATAAAGTACGTGTTAAATACGGTATAGTGGAATTTTTATACTTAGACATGCATGCATAAATTCTTCTGAAAAGACTTCTTGTTTTACCTGAGGAGACACAAGGTTGGAGCTGCGGGTAGAGTGAGTGCTCATAGTCTGACAAAATTCCTTTAGTGAATTTGTTGCATGACATCAAGTGCCTATCAGTGACAATGTCAACGATATGGCCCAATGGGATAACACCCGTCCTACTGACAGTCTTCCGAGTTCTACGAAGTATGACATAGTCCTTTTTAAGTAATCCAGGAAAGAATAAGGGTGAACAGTAAACAAGAATAGGTAAAATACACGAGTTGACAAACTGTAAGAGGAGTGGTTGGGTTATGCCTGAGTGCCTCAACTTGTTAATGTAAAAAGTCAAACGAAATATTCTTTTAGAAATCGCTAAGACATGAGAGGACCAGGATAGGTCAGAAGAGAGAATTAATCCGAGATACTTAACTTCAGACTGGGTTACTATGTCAGTATCATCAATTTTGCAAGGGCCATAGGAACCAACGGCTTCATTTAACTTTCGTTTACATCGGAAACTGAAATTGACAGTCTGACATTTGGAAGGATTAAGTTTAAAGCCGTTAGACGAAGACCATTCGCTAATTCCTGATAGAAAGCTGTTCATCTTAGTACTGTCTAGCTGGGAGTTAACAGACATTGAATGCAACTTCTCCAACCAGCCATTGAGAAGGATTTTGAGACATATCATCAGTTGTCTCGTGTTATTGGTTGTTACTATCCTGAGGATCCCAACCAGGTAGTTTACACCTCCTTACATGACTGACTCAAACTAACTATCAGATATTCAATGGACTGATTCCATGTTTTCGTTCGACCACCACTAGTTCCTTTCCATCCTGATCCTATATCAGCTAACATTGCTCGTCGGCCGAGGAATGCAGTGGCTAGACATGCATGTCTGACACATTTACTAACCATCTTAATCGATGTAGCCTCAGAACCTCATCGATTGATTTCCTCTCGACCGAAGCCTAACGCCAATATTATTCAACCTAATAATACACCTAACACTGAAGATAGAATGCAGAAACCTATGATCAATGAGAACAAGTCTAAAACTAGAATGTGAAACAGTTGTCCAGTACTCCTAGGTTTTCCGATGGTTCTCTCTGATTGATGTTAGATCGTGGTCAAATCTGTAACCAATCAAATCCCTGCAAACCAACATCTGATGATCAGGAATAGTTTGAAAATGCATGTCCAATGACTTAATTCTACTGAATTGGCCTGCCTTTATTGAGTAGTAGTTTCTCTGACTTTAGTGTAGATGAATTAACATTGGTAACTAGTATATTATTCTTTTACATTTCCATAGGTATGATTCCCCTTTATTCATCGGTTACATTTGTAGTACACAAGGTTTATTTTATACATAGAATGAAGTCTGTAGATAAAGGCAATACAAAGGTAACACTGTCTCTTACAAACTTGTAACACACGTGCCAGGCTTCATTCACCCGGAAAAAGATGTTTTGTATATTGTGATATAATCCACACTTATTGTGTATGCAGGTCGATGATGATACTCCCTCTCTCTCTCTGTCTCTCTCGCTTCAGATAATCTCACCTGTAGTAAATGCAGTGCGATCCCTAGAATCCTTGACCTTACCGTCTGAAAGCTGAATGCTTAATCTAACCTGGTTATGCAACTACTGAACAGTATAAACTTTTAATTTTACTGACAATTTGAATAAATTCCAGTTAATATTTAATAAATAGGCATCATATCATATCATTGAGCGCTTTTTTCAACTAGTGATTACCTTGAAATGAGATGTAAATTAAAATAGCCAAGGTTGACAAATAATTTCTATGCATGAATCTATATATTACCCTTAAACAAAAGTAGAATTGGATGGGGGATTTCATCATGAGGTGACCTGAGAGTACTGAACAGCTGTTTCGTCCTAGTTTAGGACTCTTCATCAGTACACACCCACTACAGGGGGTTCGAACCCAGGACCTTCTGGTTACAAGGCGAGCTTCTAGACCACTGAACCACTGCAACCCGATCCAATTGTCCTTGAATTCTAACTTCTGCCAATTCACGACATAGCGCGACTATTTCACAATGTCTTCTTCGATGAGTTACTGCCTCATCTTCAACCTGGATAGAGTCTCAGTGGCTGAATGGTCTACAAGCTCGCCTTGTAACCAGAAGGTCCTGGGTTCGAACCCCCTGTGGTGGGTGCGTACTGTGAAGAGTCCTAAAGTGGGACGAAACAGCTCTCCAGTACTCTCAGGTTTTCCAGTGGTTCACTAACTGATGTCACTTCATGATGAAGTCTTCCATCCAATCAAACAAAATTCCTACAAAACCAATACTTGAAAGGTAGAATTGGCAAATCTACAAGTTTCTCAATGATTGATTAGTTCCATACTGTGATCCCAAAAAGACAATAAAAGCAAAATTATATATGTAAATTATTTTTCCCACATAAATTCATTCTGCCTAATATTGTGAAATATATTGTTGTTATTATTAGAAGAATTGAAATATGATGAAGCCTAATTACTTTATATAGGATAGATAAGTTTCAGTGATGATTATCATTATTATTATTATTAGTCAACTATTTTTTAATTTCCAAACCCAATGTTTATATATGTTGCTTAGCTACACGAATGAATTATAATAATAATAATTATGTAAATTCTAAAAATATCTCTGGAATTAGGAGTATGTTTATTTATTTGTCTTTGTTTCAAAGTATACTGTTTGATCAGCGTTTTTATATTTTTGTACAGGCGTGACTGATAGAATTCAGTTTGCACCAAAGAAAGGACAAGACACATCACGCTAGTTACTAGTGTCCAACCAAAGTACCCACTACAGTCCTACAGGAGGTCAATCGCGAGCCCGAATACCTCAGTAGTAGCGTCTCTCACTGCAGCACTGGGTGACGCGGGTTCGAATCTCAGAAGGGACATGAATTCTTTCAGGGTTGCAGATACACCTTGTCCTAAACGGTGAGTGCCAACTAGCACGAAACCTAGGTCAAGCAAGGCTTCCTGTGGCCGATTGCTTCCAACCATCTAATATCATCAAAGGTTGAAATATTATCAGTATTGTTCCCTTAGGTTCCGAGGGGGAACATAAACCTTCATCAGCACATCTCCATATCATTCTTTTTTCTGTAGTCGTCTTCAGCTGATTATACGATTATCCATAAACTTGCATCTCCTCTTCCTCCTCCGCACAGGATAACCTTCGTGTCACCCTCGGATCCATTTCCAGCCTATCATTTCTCACTCTGGTGCGACGCCGAGGGTATACGTGAGGCACGATGTCATTTTACACTCTCCTTAGAGTATATCCTGTCTTCATTTTTTTCTGCATTTTGATTGAGCAACAGGTTGTTGGTTGGTACATTTCCAGAATGCCTTTTTGCTAGTCCTTACTGACTGGCCATTTGATTTTCCGTATGGAGTCATCGAAGGTAGCTGTTGATAAAAGTCTGCAACAGCCCGTTCGAGAGGTTTTTTGTGACATTCACGTCAAGTTTCTGAACCATATAGAATCACTGACTGACTTGACATTAGTGTTGAAGTAGTACTAGTATGAAGTTGTGTTAATGTGTGTCACTTCCAAAAGATTTAACTGTTTGACAGCCAAAAAAAGGTGTACAAAGGGACGATTGACTTTCTAAAACCTTAATGTCTAACCTTAATTTCAAAGTTTGACTTCGCACCTTTCGGCTGATTAATTAACTAGACCTGACTGTCGTAGATTTTACGGATAGTTGTAAATGCTTTGAAGATATATGAGACTTTCTGTAAATTGAGTGACCATTTTCCTTTTTGTTCCATACTATCTTGGGCTATTTAAGGTGTTAGAAAGGACTTCTTTGCATTGACATGGGTTTTATTTTTCTCTGATTAGTGTAAATTAATATTACTAGTTGATGTAGTTTACCAATCGACAGCCGCCCACCAGACCATCGTTCGAGTGGAATCCCAGTGGGAAGCGACGATTGGGTCGGTGGTGCAAGGGTGACATGAAGGAGATTGTACGAGGTGGTGGGGGGTCAGAGATTATAGGCAATCGTAGACCCAGCTGCTGAAGAAGACAGTAGAAAATAGAACAAAGTAGAGATGTGTTGTTGTGAAGCCCTGTGTTTCACTTGGTACCCAAAGGAATAATAATAATATTAGTTGATGTAGTTTAAGTGGCTGTCTGTTTGGCGAATTGTGTAACACTTCAAGTGTCGGTTTGTAGGGATATGATTGGTTACAGGATTTACATCATGAGCTAGGTTCGAATCCCGGTGGGTGCGTGCTGCTGAAGAGTCCCAAACTAGGACGAAACAGCTGTGCAGTACTTCCAGGTTTTTCAATGGTTCTCTAACTAATGTCAGCTCATGATGAAAATCCTGTATAATACTTCATTACTTAATCTAGTTGGCTTTTCTCAAGGTGCTGTTCTTTCTCCTTTTCTGTTTTCCTTTTTCTTCTTACATGACTTGTTCTAGTCTGATGTGACTGTTTGTATGTTGGTTACTTGTCAATCAGACTGTT